ACTTAATACATTTTGAACAGTTTATTTTTACTTCTTTTGTTGGTCACTTCCATAATGATTAACATGGTTATATCTATAGTTCTCAATATATCAACTTTAAGAGATTTATTGATTCCTCCATTCTTCCAACTTTTATTTCTGATTCTTTTAGTGATTACCTTTATAACACTGAATATTAGGTTTTAGCTTAAGAGAATATGCTGCTAAATACATTCTAGTAGTCCCTTTCCCCTATTTCTTCTACTTTTCAAGGACAATGACTATTGTCTTATTTTGGCATTCTCAGAGCCTATACTAAGAAGATGTATTTAGTGTGGAAAGTTTATTTTGGCTCTGAGGTAGGTAGATATGTCTAGAAAATATAGTTGTAAAATAACCTGAGGATAAATAATGAATTACTTTAAGGGCTTATGTCCTTTTTAAATATAATACACAAATGTGACAGAATGTTTTAATATGCTTAGATAGAAGCTGGTCCTAATTAGTAAATACCTAAAAAAAAATTGACTACGTTTATTGTTTATATTAAAGCCAGATGGCCCTAGCTGGTTTGGCTTAGTGGATAGAGCATCCGCCTGCAGACTGAAGGGTCCTGGGTTCGATTCTGGTCAAGGGTACATGCCTTGATCCCCAAGGTGGGGTGTGCAGGAGGCAGCCAATCAATGATTCTCTCTCATCATTGATATTTTTATCTCCATTTCTGAAATTAAAAAAAAAAAAAAATTTTTTTAAAAAGCCAGATTAAATGTCACACTTAGAAACAAAATATTTAAATAATATTTTCAGTTCAATTAAATAAATATACAAAACAAACTTTAAAACTTGTTACACAAATATATGATACATATATTTATAGCAGACTCAAATATGAAATGGGAGTAATAATGGTACTTACCTTATAGAGTTGTTATCAGGATTATACAAATTAATTTATATAATGTGCTTACAACAGCACCTTCATGTAATAAGCACTTAATGAATGTTAGCGGCTATTATTATTAAGTAAATATTTGTGTCATTATTTACTATTGTTGCTACTCGGGAGTTTTAGTGATTTATAAACTGAATTTGAACTGTTGCCAAACATTATTTAGATAAGTAAAAAAAGCTTTTTTGAGAATGTTTTTATATTATAATTATAATAATCTGTTGAAGACATTTATATTTAGTTTCCTTTAAAGAACTCAGTTCATGTATTGATACTACAGGCAATACAATAAAGTACAGCTATTGTAACAACTGAAATTTCTTTAGTGGCTACAATTTCATGCATAGTTAGCTTAACTTTCATTTCATTCTTCTATGTTTTACACACTAATAGCATTTTATTTCTGATAGGCTAAAGCTTAAAATTTGCTACTATCTTGAATAATGCTATTTAAGCTGACTTTTAAATTACTCTTTTTAAAAAAAATAAATATTTTATTGTTTTTTTTTTTACAGAGAGGAAGGGAGAGGAGAGGGATAGAGAGCCAGAAACATCGATGGGAGAGAAACATTGACCAGCTGCCTCCTGCACACCCTCCACTAGAGGTGTGCCTGCAACCAATATACATGCCTTTGACAGGAATTGAACCTGGGGCCCTTCAGTTCGCAGGCTATGTTCTATCCACTGAGCCAAACCGGTTTTGACCTAAATTACTCTAAAATTGGCTACAGAATTTCCAAGTAAACTGAAAGCAACTAAATGTTTTAATTCTTTTACCAGAATTGAGAAAAGTTACATGACTTATTTTTAAAAATTTTTTTATTGTTGAAAGTATTACAGATGTTCGCCCTCCCTTTTCCCTCTAGTGAGTCACCCCCCAAAAAAGTTATCTGATAATTTTAAATAAGTAGTAGTGAAAGAATTACATTAACAAAATGAACTATAAATGCTGACCTCCAGAGAGCCAATCTGGTGTTTTCCATTTAACTCAATTAATTTTTTTACAGTTACTATTTACATTTTCAAGGTGAGAGGCAAAATAGTGTAGAGGGTTAAAAGCTTGGGGCTTTAAAATCAAATATACTTGAGATAAAGCAAAGTTGTGGCACCCAATTGTTGGGTAACTTTGGGCAGATTATACCCTAGTTTTCTCTTCTTCTATATAGAAACTAGAAGCCTGGTGCACAAAATTCATGAATGGGTAGGGTTCCTAAGCTTGGCCAGTGATCAGGGTCAATCAGGGCCTTCTGGCTGCTGGCCAGTGCCCCATGGTGGTTAGTGCATGTCATAGCAAGCAATTAAACTCCTGGTCAAACTCCTGAAGAAACACTTCGCATATTAGCCTTTTATATATATATATATAGATAATAGTATTTACATTATAGTTATTGTATTAAGTAGGTAACACTTCAGCACATACCCTAGGTAAAAGAAACACTCAAAAATGAGATAATGTAATTGTTACAATAAAACTGAAAATCCTGGAATGATTTGCTGGTTAGAAGTCACAAAACTAGTAAGCAAGGAAGCTGAGATGAAAATAGAACTCTTCAAAAACTCTTATAAAAGGAGAGAAAAGGATAAACTTCTACTGAACGATCCACATGATAATATTACCTCTGTACTCTCTGGCTTGCTTAGAGTGCAGGTAAATGTGAAGGCAAAATATGATACACATAGAAAATGGGAATGCTACTATATAAAGCTGGCCAATTGGCATTAGTCTAACTCCAACTAGGTAACAGGATGAGAAATGGAGAGGATCTGACTATATTCTTAAAATTATTTTATGCACTATGTATTTAGGTCCATTTATTTGAATCTAATGAATTATAACAATTATTGAGAATACTTTATGTTTTAGTATTACCTATAAGGTAGATTTTTAAGTGAAAAAAGAAAGAAAAAGCCCTATGGCAAATACCTGAACTATTGGGCTAGTCTCCAGAACCAGTTATGGTATAATTTGGGGATCTGTAGCCTAGGCTTCTACTGGTATTCTGGGAATAAGACCAAGATGTTCCAAAATTCAGATAAAAGAAATCTCTTCTCAATCTGTAGCGTTAAGAAAACACACTTTTACGTTTTTCTTTTCTAAAGCTTTCTTAAATCTCTGAAATCTGCTTATCAAGTGTTAGATTAAAAATACTATTGAGAAAGGGCAATAAGGAAAAATAACTTTGATATGCACTCAGCTTATATTATAGTTTAGGCACCTTTGATTTCAATCAAAGGGCAGAACCTCTCAACTGACTTTTAATTATAAGAAAGTGTGTGTCATAAAAATTGTTTATTATAGAACACCCCTTGTTATTCAATCCTTGCCTTGACGTTTTGTGTCTTGGGAAATAATAACTGTTGGTTGAACAGTGCAAAGACCTTGGAAAATCATAGAATAATAGCTTAAAGATGAGAGGATGATTCATTCAGCAATTTATCCCATCAAAAACCAAAACAAACAAACAAACAAACAAACAAAAACAATACCACCAAAAAACACCTACAAAAAACAAAACAAAAACAAAAAACAAGGGAAAGGATCCTACTAAACAAAGTCCTGTGTAAACTCGTTTAAATTTTATTTTCAGGCAAAACAACTAATATATTACGGAAATCTCCTAAACATTAAACTATATCATTGGTATATTTGAAACAGAAAATAAAAAACATGAAGACTTGAAAGCCAATTTTGGAACACTGGAAATTTCAGGTTGATAACCAAGAAATCAAGTATGAAATTATGGTTGAATATTAACATTTTTAAACCTTTTCTGCTTATTTTTTTTAGAACTATAAAACTGTACTTAGTGTTAGAAATAAACTTTTACTATGTAGTAATGAGAAGATACAATTACTGTCTGAAAGCTTTACAAACCATTACATCCTTAAATGTATGTTAACACCTCACTATGTAGAAGAATATTAAAAGGAAACATAGAGACACCCCCATTATTTTACTCATCTGAATAATATAAGAAATCTTTTCAGGGTTTTTTACAATTTAAAGAAACCTAAAAACTATAATAAAAAATATTTAACAATTAACAAAATTTTTTAATTTACTAAAATATATATTAAGTTCACTGTTTATTTTCCATGAATGAGGCTGCTGAACTAATGATTTACATAGACTAAGAATTACTATCTTGTCTAGAAACATTAAACTGGGCAGCCCTCATGAAGATGTCATCTTGGATAACGAGCACTACTTTCTATGTTAGATAATGCTTGTACATTTACACTTGTTTCTGTATAGTGGCACATCTGGCCTTATGGAGTGGCTATTAAGGCATAATACTTCAGTGTTAGGTTCTTTACATGTATATTTAGAACCATTCCTTTGCAAAATGTGAGTATATGGTTGTATGCATACCTTCTTATTGTGAACCAATACATTGTGAAGAAGTAGTTGACTTTGACACTTGAAAAACAGAAGCGATACTTGATTTACTTTGTAAAAATTAGGATATTTTAAGTAAATGTGTGTCCAATAACACTTAAAAATTAAGGAAGTGAACTATTAATTTCAAAAGTGGGTCAAAACATAGATTTTATCGAACAGTTAGAACTACCTAACCTTGGTGTTAAAGGTGAAGTTGTGCCTGGAAATACTAGCAATATGTGAGTAAATTAACAATCATATTCTTTGTTAACCAGATTAAAAATTGTAATTTCTTTTCTATAATTTTGTGGCACGTAATGGGTGTTTTGTTTTTATCCCAAATTTCATTATAAAATTGATTTTTTAATATAAGCATCTGATAAATTATTTCTTTGACTTTATGTGGCCATCTTTTGGAAAGAATGCGGAGCTTCAGTATCCAAGCATTCTATAGTAACTCTGCTCCCCCTCTGCAAGACAACATGATAGCATGGGGACTTGGCATGTAATCGTACTTTTCCTTCCTGTTTGTTTTGATCTAACGAGACAGGAAAGAAGTCCACGTGAGTTTCTAAAACTACAAAGTGTAGAAGCCGAAGACTTCTTTATATACAGTATATTTAAGCTGATTTAGTATTTTACCTTATCTTAACTAAAACGTCTAATGGGAGAGATACTAGAAAACAGTACCTTTTTGGTTTCAAATTGTGCTTCTTCCTGACAGCATCCCCTACAGTCAGGATCCAGCTGAAGCAGGTTGAACTGTCCAAGAAGATCACAGGAGCTGCAGAGCAAGTTGCTGGAGAAGCCTAACTCTCTGCAAGCCTCTGATGAAAACTCTGCCCCGAAGGCAGATACCTGAAAATAAAAAAATGGAAATAAAACTTAGTTCCATATTTACATTATAAAATTTCCCAAAAGATACTCCATACCTTATATGAGTCTTTGTTCCCCCCTACTTATCCCCATATAACTTTTCTTTTCGTAAAAATGTGTCACATTCAGCCGAGACCGGTTTGGCTCAGTGGATAGAGCGTCCGTCTGCGGACTCAAAGGTCCCAGGTTCGATTCCGGTCAGGGTCATGTACATTGGTTTCGGGCACATCTTCGGTGGGGGTGTGCGAGAGGCAGCTGGTTGATGCTTCTAGCTCTCTATCCCTCTCCCTTCCTCTCTATAAAAAAATCAATAATATATAAAAAAATGAAATGACTTATGTAATCAATCTGAATGACTGACAAAAGCAAGTTTTCAAAAATATTAGTCTATTTCCCTCACCCATTCTTCTTTCATGTTTCAGTGAATGGAGCATACTAGTACTTGTATTTGTCTAAACGCAGTCCCTCTACCTGTGCTTCAGATTCTAGCCTCTGCCATCTTCATAGGGACTTAATTTTACCAGTAATGATAATTTTTTGGTATATTCAAGCCCTACATTCTAATTGCTCTCCCCACATTTCTACAATGTTATTCTAGTCTGGTTACTGATTTTACCACTCGACTAAACTTGTCCAAAATCACTAATGCAAAGGCATTCAAAACTGTTCTCCTCCAGTTGCATCTTCCATGGGCTTGTCCCCCTCCTCCTTCCTCTTCTATGCATTTCTTAAATGTTACTGTTTGCCATTTCTATCTTTTGTTCTGTCTTGGTGTATATACTTCCACAAGCAACTTTTCCTCCTCCATGGCTTTAAATACTGATTTACTGAAAACTCCCAAGTCTTTTTCTTGAATGGCAAGCTTCCAACATCAACAGCCTACTTGATGTCTCATTAGATGTTGCAAAAGGCACTGCAAATTAAAAAACTCCAACAGTGAAAAAACATACCAAAAACAAAGCAACTCCCACTCCCCAAATATCTAACAGTGAAACTTACCCTTTTCTCCTTAAATCTATTCCTACCCAATGGAATTCAGTAAAAATGGTACCATTTTCCCTGACCAGGAAGTTGCCCAGGTCAGTCATTCCAGATTGCACACTTTTCACCATTCTTACAATTAGTTAACACATTTTGGTAATTTTGTTTCTTATAGAGCTCTCAGATCTTTTCCTGCTTTTAAATGGTCACTGACAGTTGTACCTCTAATTACTTCTCTAATCCCATTACCCTTATCAGATATAATGAATTCCTCAAACGAATAATGATGCGATCGTATTACTTGATTTATTCTTACACTTATCGAGCACCTCAGTAAGTGCTCAATAAATGTAAGAATATACAAAACACGAATATACAAAACATGTATTGAAGTCTGACAACATCTTGATTTAAATCCAGCACAGAACAACCTTACTTTTGAGTTTCTGAACAGGAATCTCAGAGTTCTGACAAGGGAAAGAGAAAAAGCACAGAGTGGGTACTTATAAATGTTAGCATTATTCCCACCTTCCACAGTAAGAGTATACTTAATAACTACAAATCAGTACTTATAGGTTGATTAAAGCAATTGTTCCCTGCACTGAAGGGTTGTGGGTTCGATTCCGGGTCAGGATGAGTCCTGGAGGCTGCCAATTGATTCATTTTCTTCTCTCTCCCTTCCTCTTTCTGTAGAATCAATGAAAAACATCCACAAGTGAGGGTAAGAAAAAACTTATTTATGTTTTAATCATTATTTAGACATAGGATAGAGGATAAGTGTATGGGAGATACCATGTATCTTGAGTTTCATGAGTGAAAATTCTTTTCTGGTTTTTCTACCATTGGTTTGGCAAATTCAAGCTTTGAATCTGAGGACATTAGAACATATTTTTAAGCACTTTAAGATAAACACTAAATGCTAAAAATATAGAAGAGGAGTACAAAATTATGCCTACTTATCTTTTTATTACCAAAAAGTAACTAAACAGCATTAAATTGAGGTCAAATATTAAATTTTAAAATAAGTAGCCACACCTGTAAAAAAGACAGAGATTCTAAGGATAGGGTAGGATAACCTTGATTGAGTTAACCATTTAACCAGTTAACAGCTACGATATTTTGAATTTTATTTAAAAAAAGGTCCACTGCTTGCATCTATAGATGCTTATGGCATACAAATGGTTAACAGTTTAACTTTCCCCAAGTCAAAGTAGGATTGACATGCTAAGAGATTCCATTCTCTCCTCCATGCATTGTACATTGCTACTGGCCTTTATTCTATGAAAAATAATAGGCTTCTCACACTATTTCAAAAAGACTGCAAATTTGAGATTAAATAAATGAACCTCATGAAAATGAATACAAGAAACATCAAGCTCTTACACCACTAAGTACTTCACAACATCCTTTTATTTAATCTTAACTACCCTAAGAAGAAGGTATTATCTCCATTTTACAGAGAAGTAAACAGAGGCTTAGGACAGTTAAGGTAATTTGTCTAAAACAACACAGCAAACAATAGGTGGCAGCATCAAGAGTCTAATCTTGGCCTGCCTGCAAAATCCTTAACCACTGTTATTAACTAGTATGCTTCCCAGAATCCATGAAGCACTATTACTGCATGGACCACTAAGAATAACAGCAAAAATGCTGACAATTATAACTGCGTTACCCAATGAAATAAGACTGATCCAGATGTTAACTTTTGAAGAAAAGGGAGTGGGGGTTGTGTCAGAACTATTGTCACACAGTATCATCTATATTGCTGTCAGTATAGTGCCTTTCTGAATGTAGAAAATTACACATGAGCTGAATGAAGAACTGAATACCACTTAGTTCTGGGGTACCCTAGAAACAGCTCCCTCAGGCCATACTAAAATACTACTTCTCTATTGTTTAATCATCCTCAGAATGTATTTTCATATTAAATCATTTTCTATTCTCCCAGTTGTAATCTCATTGAAATGCTGATAACCACGACTGTTTTAAATTAGAGCTATTCAGAGGCATAGACAGTGATAAAAACTCAACTTGTCTAGTGTAAGGACTCAGAGGTGTGAATTACAGTAGGAACTAAGTTCTCTATTCATTTCATTAGCACAACCTCAAGGAGCTGAGATATTCTTATTCTCTTTTTATTCAATGTCAGGTTACAGATATTTAGTTCATTTTATTACTGAAAACTACTTATTCCACCTGGCCTTTTGCACGCCCTCATGCTAAATGTGAAGTGCAGTTTTTCTAACTTCTGAGTGTTTTTCAACAATCCTCCACACACACCTCCCTTTTCATTTTCAAGGATTCTATTGCCATCTTTTCTTAGAAACACTAGTCATTAAAGAAAAGACAGGAATAAATCTTAGGGAAGTCAAAACAGTTCAACAAGGGGGTACTGCTCAGGACTCCCTTTGTATTTTCAATCATTTTGTATTCGTAGGAGTTGGGAATCATTACCACTCTACACTCACTGCTCTACACAAACTATAGATATCTTGATGACTTTAAAAGCAAGGAACAAATAACTAGGAAGCTAGTCATATTTCAGAGGGATTTCAATGAACAAGTACATGTGAGGCACTATATAAAACAGTCCCTGTATTCCCTTCAGCTACATTCTAATTACCGTGGGAGCAGAGACAGTGGAGTACAGACACATACACAGAGCCATATGGTGCAGTTAAGATTGGGGCTCTGTGTAATACAGCATAAAGTTTGATGACAGAGGAAAGAGTACTGTATATCTATCTGCTTTTGTAAATCTGAAAATGGATGATATTTTTTAAATGGATGTATTTTTTAAACACCTTACTTTAGGCTCAATCAGGGAGAACACCTCTACATTTTTGCACTCCCCAAAGAGGTAAACACTGGTAATTAAGTCTATCTAGTTAGACAAGTATCAGGAAAGTGAAGGAGGACAAACCATCTTAAAAACAGTCTGGGAACATGCCTATGCCTTTCCCTTTCTCTCCCCTTACTTCTATAACTTATTTCCTAAGCCCATTTATTCTAGGGATTACTTTTTTCTACCTCTAATTTACCCAATAAATGTTCTCTCTCCCCCCCCCCCCCCCCCCCAAAAAAAAAGGCAGCAGAGAGCCATTGAAAAATTTTAATAAGGATAGCTAAGTTCCAGAAAGATGACTTTGGATGCATTGTGGATACTGGATTGAAAAGGGAGGAAAGAGATGGGGAGACCAGTTAAGAAAGCTGGTGTGGCAATTCCAGGCGAGCAGAGATGGTGGCTTGAATTTAGGTAATACTTTAACTAGAGAATGGATTAAGTGGATTGACTTGGAGATTTAAAAAAAAAAATATTTTATTGATTTTTCACAGAGAGAAAGAGAGAGGGATAGAGAGTTAGAAACATCGATGAGAGAGAATCATCGATCAGTTGCCTCTTGCACACCCCCTACTGGGGATGTGTCAGCAACCAAGGTATAATACATGCCCTTGACAGGAATCGAACCTGGGACCTTTCAGGCCAACGCTCTATCCACTGAGCCAAACCGGTTTCGGTGGCTTGGAGATTTTTAAGTGTTTGATGATTAACTGGATTCAGAAGGTGAGAAAAGAATTTTTAAAAAAAATATATTTTTATTGATTCCAGAGAGGAAGGGAGGAGAGAGAAAGAGAGAAACATCAATGATGAGAGATGTGAAGGAAAAGAGCCACATGCTAACCTGACAAGCTCAGGGGAGGCCTGCATGGCAGTCTTGCAAACTCAGAGACCTAAAATAACCACAAAAGATGGTTTGAATATTAGATATCTAACTACAAACAGGTTATAGTGGGTAGTCATATCCAGGGGTCCTCAAACTTTTTAAAGTGGGGGCCAGATCACGGTCCCTCAGAGAGCTGGAGGGCCAGACTATATGAACTACTAATTCCTACTGTAACACCTCGGCTCACTGCCCAAAAAACCTGGCGGGCCGGATCAGACTCCTCTGCGGGCCGCATGTGGCCCGCGGGCCGTAGTTTGAAGACGCCTGTACCTAGGCTGATATCTCACCTGACAAAGATCAACTTAGATGTCTTTACTGAGCCCATCTGCCTTCTAGCCTCTAAGATAACATATCTGTGAGATGTCTGGGTAACTTGTAACTTCCCTTTTTCTGGAGCCCCTGGGGCACAACCAATGTGGTGGGCACAAGGACAGATGCCTCAAATTCCTTTGTTATCATGTTAATTGTTCCTGCTCTCACCTAAATCCATCATTTTACTTTTTATCCAATCCCAGGAGTTTCCCACCTCTTTGCTTTCTCCCGCCTCCTTATTCCATCACCAATGAATTTCATGTAACCCACCTATGTTCCTCCTTTGATTTCAGTGTATAAATAGAAATGTAGCCCCGCCATTCTTCGGAGCATTATCTCAATCCATTGAGGTTCTGCTTCCTGGCATATGTGGTCATATGTTGACAGTTTTGCTCAAATAAACTCACTAAAATTCTTTACAGGTTTCAATGTTTTTTTTTTTGTTTTTCTTTGTTTTTTTTTGTTTTCGTTAACAGAGAGAATCATGAATCAGCTGCCTCTTGCATGCCCCCTACTGGGGATCGAACCCACAACCTGGGCATGTGCCCTGACTGTGAATGGAACTGTGACCTCCTGATTCATAGGACCATGCTCAACCATTATGGCACCCAGGCCAGGCAAGAGAATAATTTAAAATGAGTAGTTTCTGGTTTAAATTCTGATAATTCTAAGAGTGAACCAAAAGGCTATTTCTAAGGAGGGAGATGATGGTAGCCTGAATAAGGGGTTAAGAATAAGTGGATGGATCTGAGAGAAATTTAGTAAATAAAATCAATTACACCCCAGTTTCTGGTTTAAATTCTGTGTGGATGATCACTGTGGTAGATTGTTTAATGGGCATAAATTCCTTTTATCCTGGTATGTACTTTCTCTGCAATGGGACTATGTCACTCTGCGCACGGAGAGATGGAGTCTACTTCCCCATCCTTGAAGTCTAGATGGCTCCTGTGATTTGCTTTGACAAATATCGTGACATGAAGTGATTTCCAAGGCTAGGCTTTAGGGTGCATTGCAGCTTTTGCTCTTTAGGAGTGCTGCCCTGAGACCACCAGGAGAAGAAGTGTCTGGCCTACTGGAGGATGAGAGGGGACAAAGAGAACCAAGTGGCCTCAGCTGACAGTAAGCACCAACTAAAAATGAAGCCATCCCAGGTCTTTCAGTCTAGCTGACTTACTAACACAGGACAGCTTGCATAAATGAGGCCAGAGGCAATCAACAAAGGAACTGCTCAGAATCATGAGAAATCATTACTCTAAGCCAGTGTTTCCCAAAGTGTGGTTCACGTACCCCCAGGGGTACGGGAAGAGTTTGGTGGGGGGTACGCGTTGCACCGGAGTTTGGTGGGGATATGCACTGCACCATGCTTAGCTGCGCCTAATTCTACGTTCTCATGAGTACGAGGGATACTCAGCATTATGAAAATTATAGAAGGGGGACACATATGTCAGTTTGGGAAACACTGCAAGCTATTAAGTTTTGAGAGTATACAGCCATAGATAAAGAAACAGCCAGAGATTGAAAAATAAAGAGAAGGCAACTTGGAATGTTATTCCTTTTTTAATTTTTGCATGATGATGAACTCAAGTCATCTAAGTATTTGCAAAAAAAAGTCTTGATTAGAAAGTTTAGAGAGGGTTCACCCCGTAATTTCTAAGGCACCAAAACCTGAATAATGAGTACTGTCATGCTAACTACAATACAAAAGGAAATCATTCACCTCTACCTATGGCTGCAAAAGCAAACTGTGGGATCCTCAAACCCCTCGATAAAAGAAAAGCAGAGGTATTCACTGAGGCCTTCGATGGGCCTTAATTCCCCCAAACCTTGGATAAATCAGTTAACCCAGGTCTCCTGGGAAAAACTCTTCAGGCTCGTTAAGAATACCTGAAGAATTAAGCTGATAAAAGAAATGTGTGATCGCAGCATAGTGCCATTAAAAGTGTTACGCACAAAGCAAACAAGGATTGCAAACTCTTTAGGAGGAATTAACCAATATTAAGTTGTTCGTGGTGAGTAGGAAAATAAGTAAAAACTAGCCTTTCCTTAAAGAACGCATCTGCTCTGTTGAAGAAAAATGAAGTTTAAACGAGATGAAGACTGTCATTTTAGAAAATCCATTAAAAAGTAAGTTACTATGCTTTAGTACGCCAGAAAATACGGTATATAGAGTAGCTGCTTTTCTTGCAACAATGTTGCATAAAACTACACACACACACACACACCACCCCTGCAGTGCATCCACCCATGTGAATGTCGGAGACCGGAGATAAAGGCTGTCTATGAATTGAGAGAACACTAAAAATTGAGAGGAAGGAGTACATAGGAAGTGCACCTTGTACCAAAGACTTGTGGGCTTTTCTTTTAAGATTTGGGAATCTTGTCATAAAGAACGGCTTTATTTCCTCCCGTTAACAAGCAATGTTCATTGCTTTCCAAAATTCATTGCCTTTCTCCCCGTTGGTGTGATTTACATTTTTTTTTTTTTTCGGCAGGAACTCTGCAAGAGAAGATAAATGCTCAAGATAGTCGGAAGCCAGGAGCCAGAACCGTTAGGAGCCCCGCGCCGGGAAGGATAAGCATCAGATGAGGAAACAGCCACGTCGCACTCCGGCCGCAGCGGCGGCTAAGGAAGCCCAGCCCTCCCACCCTTCCCAAGCGTGACTCCCAGATGTGACCCAGGGGCCCGTCCTCCTCGGCGCAGCCTCCCACCCGCCGGGGTGCTGCCGCGTAGGTGATCTCCACTCACCGCTTGAAGCACAGCCGCCAACAGCAACCTCAACCCAAACGCCGGCCCAAGCCATGGGCTCGGCCCAGCCGCCATCGCTACCGCCTCCCCCGGTCTCCGGCTGCCCAAAGGTCCCCTCAGCCAGGGGAGTCCACGCCAGAGCCTGACTTAAAACAGGCTGCTGAGGAGCGGCTGCCACCAAATCTGTCCGTCTGCAGACAGGGATCGCCCAAGGGCATACGGAAGCTGAAACACCTTTACATTGGATATGGATATAAAACCGTGGGTCCTTTCGATACCCACTATCAGGCACTTTCCTAAACTCCCCAAATCTGTGCTGCTAAGGTTTCCTTCCTTTCATTCACGACATTAGCCTAATCAGCCGAGAAGCTCCGCCCCCGTCCGTGTCGGCCAGCCTCCTTCCCCAAATCTACCCAATCTAATGCCGCTTTGCTTGATGCCGCTGGGGTTCTGCGGTCCAATCAGCACAACCTAGCGGGAGCAGAGGGCGGAGCCTCTGGTTGCCAAGCAGCGTACGTGGGTGCGTGCGCCTGGTGGCGGCGAGGGGTGGGCAGGGGGCGGGGCCGGGGGCGGCGCAGCCGCAGCCGCAGCGCTGGCGGAGAGGAGCGCGCGGCCGCGAGCACAGGAGGGAGGGAGGGAAGGAAGGAAGGGAGCAAGGTAGGCAGGCTGGCAGGCAGGCGCGGGGGTCGGTGACTGAGGCAGCGGAGGGAGGCGAGAGCTCGGCAGCCGCAGCGCGGGCTTTTGGAGCGGGCAGCCGTCGAGTCGCCCGGGAAGAAGCGGGCACCGGCGGCGGCGTCGGTGCTGGCGCCTGGGGGCGGGGGACTGGGAGGCAGCGAGGGGGGTCGCTGCGGTGGTGCTCTCCGCTTGTCGCGCTCTCCTCGCCTTTCCGCCGGCTCGGCGGGCTCCTCCCGGCGTCTTTCCTCGCCTCCGGGGCTGTGCTCCCCGCCCCCCCGCGGTATGTCTTGATCCCGAGCAGCGGGTTTCATGGGGCTCCTCAGGATTATGATGCCGCCCAAGTTGCAGCTGCTGGCGGTGGTGGCCTTCGCGGTGGCGATGCTCTTCTTGGAGAACCAGATCCAGAAGCTGGAGGAGTCCCGATCGAAGCTAGGTGAGGAGCAAGCAGAAGCCACTCCGGACTGAGTGCGCGGTGTGGAAGGGGGGGCCGGGCCGGGGAGGCGCTGCAGCCCGAGCAAGCGGGCGTTCGCCTAACCTGGGGTCTGGTGTGGCGGCTGGAGGCTGAGAAAGGTTGCAGAGAGAGAGAGAGAGAGAGAGAGAGAGAGAGAGAGAGAGAGAGAGAGAGAGAGCGAGAGCTGAGGACATGGAGAGCACAAGATCCAAGAAGAGTGTGAATAAAGCTTGAGGGCTGTGCTGGGCTCTCGAGGTCACTGGACAGAGATAGCGAGGTCGGGCTTCCTAGAGCCAAAAACGTTACCCCCAAAGTAGGCATTCCGCGGGGAGAGAGCAAGACAAATCCAAACTCGGTGGGGACAGAAACGTGCAGCCTGTGTGTGTGTGTTCTCTTACAAGTCGCCCAGAAAGCCCGGGCAATGTCAGGCGAGGGGTACTCTTCATTTGAGATGTGGGCACCTGGATACAGAATCGTGAGGATGGGGAGGTCCACGCGGGGATCGATGCGCAGGAATGGAGGGAGATCCTGGGCATGCTGGTGAGCAAAAGAGATGCACTGTAGTGAGTTGCACTCTTGTGCTGGGGGCAGCAAGGGACCACACAACGGACGGGAGACATAAGCTGTCCAGGTAGGACAGGAAAGCAGATAAAGCGCTTCAACGAGATACTGAAAAGAGGCATTCTCCTGGCTTTTACATTTGATTTTTTTTTTTTTAGTAGTGCCAAACTGATTAATATTTTGGCCTTAAGAGAGGAATATGTATCTGTACATTGCCTCGCGGCAATGTTTATGACTTTAGAGGAGGGGACGCTGAATTACCAAGATCTAAGTTCATGAAGGGAAAAGCAAGATTAAGCAAAAAGTTAACCATATAGTTAAGTACCGTAAGGAGCTAACAATGCTTGCTTTAATGGGTGAGGAGGTCTGAAATGCAAAAAGTTGGACAGTGAAGTGAAAGACCAGAAAAATGCACAGACTTAATAAGTACTTTCAGAGTAGAAGGGAACTTTGGCATTTGGGAGGAGCACAGAATGGGCAGGGGGGCGTAAAAAGAATGTGAGCGATACATTTTGATTTAAAAATGTACTTGGCACTTAAAAATCAGTTCAAGAGCCCATACTTTGAATATGGAAAAGTAATATGAAGTGTTTTTATGCATACATTTTCACCTCAGTGTCGTTTTAAGTACTTTTTTTTTGAGAAGCAAGCAATAAAATACCAGCAGCAGTATAATTTAGACTCAGAAGGAATAGCTTAGCTGCTGCTGTGGGTAATGAACAGTATTTGAGACAAATGTATCAGGAAATAATTGTAACATTGTCAATAGTAGCTGACTATTTGTTGTTTTGGTAGAATTTGCAAAAAGCCTTGGAGATATAAAGAGTATCAAATCCAATTGAAGTGCAACTAAAGTTGAAGAGGAGTTAAGGATAATTAGTCCTCAACTCAAGGGTAAAACTTACCCTTTACAGTTTTGAAGAGATAATCAAATTTATTTACTGTGATTTTATTAATGAATCCTGTATGATGGGAAAATATTCACTTTAAGTATTGAAGGTTGATCAATACACTTTTTCTTTTGTTTGGATCCATTTAGCAGCATCCAGGGTCATATTCTGGCCTCATTAATGATCCAGCTTTACAGGAAAAAAAATGACTTAGAGAGATTGGACAGGTTAAAATTGAAGTTTGTACTTATTCTTTGTTGAATGGCTATATTCTTAGACACAGTATGGTGGATTAGGATAATTTTAAGTTTTTATTTTTTCTCCTTGCCTAACATTGTTTTCATAATACCTGAAAGTGTTTTTCATAGACACAACCTTAATGATTTTAAAAAGAGAGTTATCGGAAGATGAGAGCCACAGCTAGAAAATAACCTGGTGGGTTGTTTTGTTTCGTGTATGATTTTTGTTTGTTTGTTTGTTTTTGTTTTTTTTCTTTACAAGAAAGAAAATTTTAGCCTGGCCAGCATGGCTCAGTGGTTGAATGTCAACTTATGAACCAGGAGGTCACAGTTCAGTTCCCTGTCAGAGAACATGCCCAGGTTGTGGGCTTGATTCCTGGTGTGGGTTGTGCTGGAGGCAGCTGGTCGATGTTTCTATCTCATACTCCATTCCTCTCTGAAATCAACACAATATCATTTAAAAAAAGAGAGAAAATTTAAATTCCAATAAATATGGATCAAACAAAATCATTCTAAAAAAATGAGCCAAGAAATACAAGACACTTGAATTTATACTCTAGAGATGCAAAAATAAGGCAAATAAAATATCTTGCTTTATATCAGTTATCTTTTGGTTTAAAAAGTCTTGTAAAAGGCAGTACTAAAACAGATGTTGCCAGTTGGTAATCTTCCTTAGAAAAGGAAGGCAGGAGAAGGCATAGTTTGACAACCAGACTCAGTGCTAGGCACTTATATATGTGATATTTTTATTTAATCTTTCAAGAACACTATAGAAAGCCATTTTTATAAATGCAGGAACAGTCTGAAAGATTATATAACTTGATCACATAGCCAGTAAGTATTAGAACCAGTGTTGAAACACAGGTTACATCTGATTTCAAGTCAAATGTATTCCCTTAATTATACCAGGCTGGTTGGGACTTTATATTAACACTAGTGGCTGGGTGCATGAAATTTGTGCACATTAAAAGAATTAATTAGAGGAAATATTTTAATATTGCTATTTTGCCCTTTCTCTATAATAGAAGTGTCAGAAATGAAAGAAAATTGGTAAAATGTATATGAAAATCTTCCTTCTGTCAGAGTCTGGGGCGCACTGCGGGACTCAGAGTCAAGTCCCTGACCACCCTTGAAATTGTGCAAGACTTAGACCTGGCCGGCCCCACCCCCATTGGGTGAGACCCAGACCTGGCTGGCCCACCCCCGTCAAGCCCCATTGGGTGAGGGGGGGGGGGGCAAAGCCTCAGGACCCCTGTCAAATCCTGCCGGGCAGGGGGTTTAGCCTCAGGTCCCCTGCCCCAGAGCGAAGGGTGTGGCCTGAGGCCCTCTGGCCTAGCACCGGGGTCTCGGGTGTACCTTGAGGTCCCTGGTCAAGCCCCACCAGGCAGGGGGTGTGCCTGAGGTCCCCCAGCTAGGTGCCAGGGCGGGGTTGTGGCCTCAGATCTCCTGGCCTGGGGCAAAGGTCGTGGTCTGAGCTCCCCTGGCCTGGCACTGGGGCAAGGGGGTGCATCTTGAGGTCCCCCGGCCCAGCACCTGCCGGGAAGCACACCTTGAGGTTCCCTGTCAAGCCCTGCTGGGTAGGGGGGGTGGCCGGATCCCCAGTCAAGCCCCGATGGGCGAGGGTTGCAGGGGGGGGGGGGTGGGCACTCAGCCTCAGGTCCCCTGCCCTGGTTCATTTCCTTGCATCCTCAGATCCCTGCTGATTGCTCCTTAAGGCTCATTACCGGAACTTGGCCTCTGCTGTGGTTATAGCCATCTTGTGTTACAGAAAAACCCCGCCTCCGCTGTGGGTGCAGCCACTTTTGTGACAGCGTGATGATCAATTTGCATATTCACTCTTTATTAGATAGGATCATACTAAGATTTAGCAATTTGAATAGAATTTTAAAAATGTAATGTCACGTTAATTGCATTTATTGTGAAGAATGAATATCATTTTGAGAAAATCCAATTTCTGACACAAAGGAATTGGTTTAGTGTAATGTCTGGCTCTTGTTTATATCTGTATAATGAACATAATTATATTACCCAATGAAGCAACTGAAATAGCTTATTTCTGCTAAAGGAAAAAAAAAAGTGTGGTGGTTTTCTGTAAGTGTAAAGTTACAATATTAAAAAGCATTTTTATTTTGGCATTAGAAAAACTATTAAACACTTTTGCTCTTAAAAGTAGTTTTTATTGTTTATTTTTTCTGTTGTGTTGTAAAAGATTCCAAAAGATTGTGTTGCCTGGTAGTGCTTTATGTACCTTGATTTAAGAGTATTTTGATGGCGAAACCCTAACAGAGCAATAAATGTGCTCAAAATTTAGCTGTATTCATTGACTACTTGGGAAATTAACTATATAAAAAGGAATTAATTAAAAAAAAACCAATATCACACAAATAGGTTTTTTTTTGTTTTTTGTTTTTAACAAATATGGGATTATGGTATACATGTTACCCTGTACTTTGCTTTTTTTCAGTTAATACTATAGACATTCTTTCCAGGTTCGTACATACAAGTTTAACTTACTCATTTAGATAACTGTATAATATTGCATAGTTTGCATGTATCATAAATTATTAAGCTGTTATGCCAATAATGACCATCAAGCCCCCAGCCTGTTTTTGTTTTTTTTATAATTTATTTTCTTGGTAACAATGTTACAAGAAGCATCCTTATTTGTCCATTACCTCCTTGTGTGTTGATAGCATTTTCACTAGGATAAATTCTCTTGTCTATGGGATTGTTGCGACAGGATATATGTATTTTATAATATAAGAGATTTTAAAATTTGTTTTCCAAAAAACTAGTTTTCCAAAAGATTATAGTAATCTACCCTGCTAAAACACACTCACAAACACTGAATACTGTAAGCATTTAATTTTTTGTCAGTCTGAAGCTGTTAAATACGTTGTTCCATTAATTTACATTTCATCAACTTCTAAATGTTTAGTTATGAGTTCATTTTCATTTTTCTATTGGGTAATTTATCTTGCCAATTTTTAGGTTTTTGTTTTAAGTATTATAATTAGTAATCTTTTATCTGTCATACGTTTTACATCTTTTTTTTCCAAGTCTGTCATTTGCCCTTTGACTTAATGGTGCATTTTGCTTATAAAGAAATTACAACAATTACATAGTTTCTTATTCTTGTTTAAGAAGACTTCCCCCAATCGAGATTATGTGCATTCTCTATATTTTGTTACTGTATTTTATAATTTTTAGTTTTTTTTACATTTAGCTCATTAAAGCATTCATATGTTTATAGAGATTTATTATAATATCTCAATGAATAGCCACTTATGGC